CGACAGCGGCCCCCGCGGCGCAGACGCCCCAGCCCCCCACGGCCCCCAAAGGGGCGAGCGACGCCAAGCTCTGCGCTCTCTACAAAGAGGCCGAGCTGCGCCTGAAGGGCAGCAGCAACACCACGGAGTGTGTCCCCGTGCCCACCTCCGAGCACGTGGCCGAGATCGTGGGGAGGCAAGGTAAGTGGGCGCCGGGACTACGGAGCGGGCAGGAGTGGGGGGCACCCGTCCCTGGCGCGGAAAGTTCATCTCTTCCCTCCCTGCTCGCCTCTGGTTCTGTCCCTTTCCCACAAAGGGGGACCCGCCCCCAACCCCGATTTCTAAGTCCACAAAGTTCCCTGTTACCCCTAGTCGGGACGGTTCTCCGGACTCTTCCTCCCTCAGGGCTCTGCCCTTAGACAAAGAAATATCCTCGAACTGGTAGAGGGACAGGGGAGGAGGATCAGTCTCAATCCGGGGAGGCTGTCCGGAGGGGGTGTCCACTTCTAGCTAGAAAAACTGACAGAATGTGCCTAGAGTTACTCAGAAGCCTCTACTCCAGTATCTGCTTGTAGATAGGGGAGGGGGCACCCCCGGGGCCCCCAGCCACCAGGAGTTGCAGACTTTGGGGGAGACTTGGCCCGAGAAGCCAGACTGAGTACCTATCTCTTTGTTGGGCTGAGTGTAGGAATGGAAGGGGGTGTGGCTCAGGGGAGGGTCTCAGCCTGGGGGAGAAGTGAAAAGGGACCGCTGGGGGAAGGGGATCGGGTGGTCACCCACACACCAAAGTTGAAGGATCCATGAGGTTTTGGAAGGGGTGTCTCCAAGGAAGTGCTAGTCCTTCGTGGACCTCTCCTCTTCCCTCTCTGGCTTTTGTTCTGGGCTGGCCACGGCCTGGGGCCAGAGGCCTGGAGAGGGGTCTCAGAGTGAGGGAGTGGGACAGGGCGGAAGGGGGCATGCTGAGGGGTAAGGAACCTGGACCTGGAGATTTGGTGGAAGGTGTGTGTCCCAGTGTGTTGGGAGAGGGGGGTGTAGAATTAATCCAGTCTGGTGTGTCTGATACCACACCCTCCTCAACTCAGCGTCCCTGAGTGGGGGTGTTGGTTGGTAAGGATCCAGACTGAGCAGACGGGATCTTGGGGACCCTTCCCTCTCCCAGTTTCCCAGAGGGGGGGCGGGATTTGGAAATTGCGAAGGGGCTGGGCTGGGAGGTGTGGGGTGGGGGAGGAGCAGGGGAGGAGCTGTCCCACAGTGGGGAACAATAGAGGAGCTGCATTCCGGCCTAGAGTGAGGGAGGAGGCCAGGCTCCGGGCACAGGACGAGGGGAGGTGGATGGGGGGCCTCTACTCCACATCTCACCTCCTCCGGAGAGACTCTGGGGGCCGGGGGATTTAGAAGATAGAGCAGAATGGAGGAGGGGAAGAGGCCACTCCCCTGCGTGACCCTCATCCCCTGGGGCACTCATCTCTTGAGGTTTCTGATTTAGAAAGTTGGATTTACTCTTGTTATTAGACACTGGGAATCCAGGGCCTGGAATTGGGTGGGGACCCTAATATATTTTGTGGGTGAAGGGGTGGTTTTGGGAGGCCCCAGAATTGTATGGAGTCATTCTTTCCTTGTTTGCCTCTGCATCAAATGGGCCTGTGCCTCATAAAAGTAGGGGGATTTTGCCTGTTGGCAGACGATACACCTTCCCCTCTTTCCGTAAGTATTTGGAAGTCCTCCCTCCTGTCTTATCTCCCTCTTCCTGCTGCAGTGTCAGGGCTCCTCTATTTGACCTCTAGGAAGGTGACACTCAGTGGGTCTTCCTTTCAAGAAACGCTGGTCCAGGGTTGCAGACACCAAAAAGTGGTCTACCCTAGCCCTATGCCGTCAGGCCGCTGCCTTTTCTTTCTAGTCTTATGCCCTGGCCAGACCTCTTCACCCCAGCCACAACCCTTAAAAAGACCAAGCTCCCGCTTAAGTTTCTGGACCCAGAACTTACAGCCAGAACCCAGGTGCCCATTAGACGGCATATGACCAGAAGTGACAGGAGAGGGGACTTTGCTGTTCCTCAGCCCTCCAAGCCTCACAAATCGAATACTCATGTAGTCGAAGCGGCAAGGATGTGGGCCTGACAACAGGTAGGACTTCTTAACAGCCCTGCCAAGAGGTCTGCAGATAAAGGGGTGGCAAATTCTCCTTCCTGAGATTTTTTTTTAAAGATGTGCTCCCTCCCAAGCTACCCTAAACCCTAATCCCAACCTGCTTGGACTGGGAAAGTCATCTGGATTAGAGGAAAGAGAAGAATTTTCAGAAGAGCTCACTTACTCAGGCCTGCAGTTGGGACGGAGTCTGAAAAGCGGACCATTTGGTTTTGGATAGAGTGGTGGAGTCAGGAAGGTCGTAGAGGCCTCTGCTTGCATGCGGCTGTGTGTGAACGAAGCAAAAGTTGTGAATGTGTATAGGAATGTACAGTTTGTGCTGGGGAAGATGGGGATGTGTGAGTGAAACACAGGCCTCGCGTGCATGTGTAAGCGGTGTGTGAAAGTATATACAAAGCTCACCCCATAAGTATCATTTAAATAAAGGCACACTGCATCAAAGCTCTTAGGTATATGTGTGTGTTTGCACACACGTGGCGTGTGTGTTTTGGGGAAGGGTGTGAGGCTCTGTGGGAAGCTAGGGGCAGAGGTGGGGGGACTATGGGGAAGGAGGAGAGGTTCAGCCAGCCACTGAGGTCCCTAGCTTTTCCTGACTGTGACCCCAGCTTTTCCCAGCCTCCTTCACTTTCTCTTTACCCTTCTCCCTCTTTGTTTCTCTTTGTCTCGCTTTTCTTCTTTCTCTTCCTGCCTCTTTCAGAAGCCTCCTCGGTTCAATCCACTGCTTCAGGTCAAGAGTGTGGAGGAGAATACTCTCTCCCTCACCCTACTCAGCCCCCAGCCCATCTCAGCTGTCCTGCCCCAGGGGACAGGGAGACCAGAGTGACAGGTTGAGAGCTGCTCCTCCACACGTGATTTTCTTTATCTCTGTACTCCTTCCTTGAAATTGCTTCTCAGACAGACGCTCCCCAGTCTCACACACTGCACTAGTTGCTGTGGACTTGTTATGGTTGGGGACGTGGAGATGGACTACCTGGTAAAGGCAAGGGGGCGGTCACGGAGCCTAAAGAGGTTGGTGTCCCTGAGTCAGTAAGAGAGCACTTTAAATGCGTCGAGATCAAATGAGCAGATTGTGTGGTACTGAGTGCCTTGGGGTTCTGTGCAGAGATCAGGGTCATGATCTTCGGAGCAGTGATAAGTGATTTTAAACTTTGTGAATAGCCAGAGAAATTGAGGGAACCCTAAATTTTGGGAAAAGAGTTTGTGAGTAGACCTGAGGTTTGCAGTTTCCCCGGGACTATCTGATTATTTGGGGATGTAAGGAAGTGAATGAATTTGGAAGGTATTGGTGAGGGAAATTTAGTGCATTTTGGAATCTACAATTAATAGAGACATTATGTGGATCTGAGATCCAGTTGTTGGTGGGGTGGTGCATGAGTAGTAAAGGTTTCACTAGGCCCCATGATGGGCTCCTGAGTAAGGACCAGGAGGAGCTTACATATCCCAGCACAAATCTCCTGGTCCTGTGCATTTCTTTCTCTCCCCTTTCCCACCCAACCCCAGGCTGCAAGATTAAAGCACTGAGAGCCAAGACCAACACCTACATCAAGACACCAGTGCGGGGCGAGGAGCCCGTGTTCATGGTGACAGGACGGCGGGAGGACGTGGCCACAGCCCGGCGGGAAATCATCTCAGCAGCTGAGCACTTCTCCATGATCCGCGCCTCCCGCAACAAGTCAGGTGCTGCATTTGGTGTGGCCCCCGCTTTGCCGGGGCAGGTGACTATCCGTGTGCGCGTGCCCTACCGCGTGGTGGGTCTGGTGGTAGGGCCCAAGGGCGCAACCATCAAGCGCATCCAGCAGCAGACCAACACGTACATTATCACGCCGAGCCGGGACCGCGACCCGGTGTTTGAGATCACGGGCGCCCCGGGCAACGTGGAACGTGCGCGCGAGGAGATCGAGACACACATCGCGGTGCGCACAGGCAAGATCCTGGAGTACAACAACGAGAACGACTTCCTGGCAGGGAGCCCCGACGCGACTCTGGACAGCCGCTACTCAGACGCCTGGCGGGTGCACCCCCCGGGCTGTAAGCCGCTCTCAACCTTCCGGCAGAACAGTTTAGGCTGCATCGGCGAGTGTGGTGTGGACTCTGGCTTTGAGGCCCCGCGCCTGGGCGAGCAGGGCGGGGACTTTGGCTACGGAGGGTACTTGTTTCCCGGCTACGGCGTGGGAAAGCAGGATGTGTACTATGGCGTGGCCGAGACCAGCCCCCCTCTGTGGGCGGGCCAAGAGAATACCACGCCCACCTCGGTGCTCTTTTCTTCCACCTCATCCTCCTCATCCTCCTCTGCCAAGGCCCGCGCTGGACCTCCAGGTGCGCACCGCTCTCCTGCCACCTCTGCAGGGCCTGAGCTGGCTGGACTCCCGCGGCGCCCGCCGGGAGAGACGCTCCAGGGCTTCTCTAAACTTGGCGGGGGCGGCCTGCGGAGCCCTGGCGGCGGGAGAGATTGCATGGTGTGCTTTGAGAGCGAGGTGACTGCCGCCCTTGTTCCCTGCGGGCACAACCTGTTCTGCATGGAGTGTGCCGTACGCATCTGCGAGAGGACGGACCCGGAGTGTCCCGTCTGCCACATCACAGCCACGCAAGCCATCCGAATATTCTCCTAAGTCCTCTGCCCCTTGTCTCCTGGGCCCATTCCCCAGGGGTCAACCCTGGACCTGTTTTCCATTAGGGTCTTGGAAATCAGTGATTTGAGGGGCAAGGTGCTTGGAAATATTTGCTCGCTGGGGAGGGAGGGGAGGGAAGCCGTGGTGGCTGGAGGGTGGGCCACTTTCAGAGCCTCTGGCACCCTATCCTGGAAAGATGGGGAGGGGGCCAGACTGAATTTTACTAGAGTTACAACTCTGATACCTCAACACACTCTTTAATCTGGAAGCAGCTAAGAGAAACTTTTGTTTTGCCAGAGGTGGCATCAAGGCATCCTCTGCCCACCTCCCCAACTGTGTGTTACTCTACCCCTTCCTTTGTGGGGGCCGGGGAGAGAAGTAGAATTACCATCTGTATGTAGAGGTGCTCTTTGCAATCCCTGGCCTTCTGGTCCTGCCTGACCTCTGACCTCCTAACCTGACCCTTTAGGTATTCCACCCCTCGAATCATGTTTGGGAAACTGTTCTAGTTTCCAGTAGTCTAAGGGAGTTGGGACCTTGTCGGAAGTCTGCACAGGTATTGTGGAGGGTGGGGAGAGTAGAACTGTGTCAGTCAACAAAGGGCTTAAAATTCATCTGTCTGCACAAAGCTGGGCTAGAGGAATCTGGAGCAGGCTGCTCCTCTCTGTCCCCTGCAACTTTCCCCTTCAGTCTCTTCTCCCCATCTTTTCTTACTTTCAGTTTTCCCTTATTTGCTTTTTCCTTTTCCTCTGGCTCTTTCCCTCCCTGGGTGGCCTCTACTCCTTTTTGGCCCTCTCCCCTTTGTCCCTCCCTCCAGCCCAGCTTTGGAGACACCATCCACCGGGGAGGAAAGGGGGGAATTAATGGTCCCTTCCATTCCTCTCCGGGTATTGGAAGGTCCTCTCCCTGACTCCTCCAAAGAACAGCTCCAAGTCTTGATGGAATGTATCCCCATTCTCAGTGACAGTTTGAGGGGGGACCTGATACTGGGGTACACAAAGGGTCAAATCCCCACCTTCATCATCTATGGGCATTATATTTAGTGAGCAATTGTTGGGCTAGATTTTCTGGTTGTGGGAAGAGGGAGCCAGGAGCAGGAAAGGGCCTGGGGCAGGAGAGACCAGCTGGGGAGGGCTCCCCTCTCCTGCAGTCCCCACCGCCCAGGCCAGGCTACTCTCTGGACCTGACAACCTTTACTGAATCCTTGTTAGCATGCAAATCATGAAGTCTCTGCCCCAGCTGAGGACGTTGAGGAGAGGGGCCAGGTCTTCAGAGATGGGTCAGGCCAGGGCAAAGCAGAATTGGGGGGCCCAGAGCCTGTTCCTGAAATCAAGTATTGTGGCAGGCCTGGAGTCCCCTTTGCTGCCTCCCTCCTGCTCTGTTGGGGCTTCCACCTCCTACCCTCCTGGTTCCGCTGGCCGGGCCAGAAGAGGTAGGGAGACAGGAGCCCCTGGGAGCCAGGAGATCTTTGTATATATTGGGTGGGACGGTTCTGAGTGATCACTGAGCACTTAGAACTCACCAGTCCCATTCTTCCTGGGGGAGAAGGGGTGCAGGGATGAAGGTGTAGAGGGGATTCCCTCTTCCTCTTCCACCAGTTGTGAATTAACTCACCTCTCCTCAGCCTTCCCCTCCAGACCACCAGCCTGGGAGGGAGAGGAAGGTCACAGCCCAGAAAACTGGCCTGTGTCAGCTTCCCTCCTTCCCGCCACCGTGAGCCATCCTGAGATGTCTGTACAATAGAAACCAAACCAAATGGGCACCCCCGGTCGAGGGGGGCGGTGGGGAGGGGGGTGGGAAGAAAGGATGTCTGTCTGTCGATCCCCTCCCCCTCTCCACTCCTTACCCACAGAGGCAAAAGACTGTTACACTAGGGGGCTCAGCGAGTTCAGTCCCACCAGTACAGAATGAGCCAGACCTAGAAACAAATGCAGAACACATAGTGAGTGACAAAAACAGGAGAGAAAGCGAGAGAACTCGAGAGGGAGCGAGCTGGGTGACCAACACAGAGGAGAGGAAACAAAAATAGCAAAAAAGAAAAAAAAACAGTTCTTTATAATTTAATATTCTATTTTAATAAAGGCGTTTATTACCGTATAAATGTAGCAAAGAACCTGGGCTAATATGAAAAAAAAAAAGACTTTTTATTAGGTAATTTATTATATGAAAAGGATATTTTATTTTATGATAAAGTGATCCTTAAAAAAATAAAAAAACTTTAGAAGGTTTAGAATATATGTAGGGAGAGAAGAAGAAAAAAATACATTTGTATTCAGAGTTAAATCTTAAAAAAAAAAAAGTGTTTTTAATATATGTTCGGGTTTACGTTCCTTTTTTCCCCCACTTTTTTTTGGGGAGGAATGTCGTTTGCTTTTCTTGGGGGAGCATCCTGGGATGGATGGTGGAGAGAGGGGCTGGGGAACCTGGTCCCTTCTGGGGCCCCACAAGTAGATTGGATTTCACTCTGTGGGCTCCCCTCCCCTCTCCCCTCCCCTCAGGGGAGCTGGCAGAGCCAAACAAAGAAAGGGATTAACCGGAAAGGCAGAAGCTGCGGGACTAAGGACCGAGGATCCTGGGGTGTCCCCCCCCCTTCCCCTGCCCTGTCCCAGGGGCAAGCGTGGAGGGAAATCCATAGTGGAGGCCTAGTAGGCCCATGGGACTCCTCAGAGAGGTGTGAGATTTAAGAGAAATAGATTTTTTTTTAACTCCCATTGTTCA